TCATCCAATAATATCTTGAAAGGCAATGGGGGATGGGTAGAAGAGAGTATGTCTAGGAGCTTGTAATACTGAGGAGAATGTGGTCTGGTTGCAGTTTTTAAGAGAAAGCTGGAAAACCAATGAATCTTTCTGAAGGTTTTACCTCATTGGTTTTCGAAGAAGGATGTGGAAACTTGAGAGGGAGTATTTGGAAAGGAAAAGGATAGCCACAGGAAGCAGACCTGTGATTTCACTGATAGAGGGAACACCCAGAAAAGGAAATTCCCTCCACCACTGCAGTTCAGTACCTTCTCTGAAACTTACCTTCCTATGGAGTTGCTTAGTACACTGAGAATGTAAGTGATTTGCCCAGAGACACAGCACCAGCATATGTCAGAGAGAGGACTCACATGTTCCAGGGTCTGAGACCAACACTCTGTCTACTATGTCATGCTGCCTATCTGAATGCTGCTTAATTTCAACAGTGGATTCAATGGACTGAGTAGCTAGTTTCTTAACTCATAATCAGAAAATTGAGTTCCAGCTCTCCCTTTTGCCCCTGGTTGGTGGTGGGACAGTGAGTAAATGACACATCCTCTCTGTACTTCAGTTTTCAAACAGATGTAATAACCTGAGGCCTACCTTTCTATATGCTTTGTAGAGATGTTGTGAGATTTAACAAGAAAACATGAAACACTTTGAACATCTTAAAAAAAAAAGGTGCCATATAAACTGGAGAGGGTGTTATTTTTTAAAGATGAATCCCAGTATGAGATTTATAAAAGCTTGTAATAAACCCATGAAACTTCACTACAATTGGATATCATGAAGCAAGTGACTTATTATGAATAGAAGAGAAGCTAGATCAGACATTGCTAAAAGCATCCCCTTGTGATTACTCTGGATATGATTAAAACATTAAGCATTATCCCTCCCCAGGCATTAAGCTTGGCAGACCTTTAAAACCAAGGATAGCTACAGGGGCCAGAGGTCTGAAAATAGATAAGGGTGTGGAAAGTTTGAGTATTAGTTCAGACCTTGACTTGGCCTTTGCATGGGTCATTGTGCAGTTGATTTGCCTTGTTTGTGCCTCTACTTCCCCACTGGAAAAAGATAGATCAGTCAGAACTATTTTCTATTCAGGTTTCTTTTGATTTCCGTATATCAAATTATATTTTATTTTATTATATTATATTATTATATATTATGTATTTTCATATGATATATACGGATGAATATATAATATATATTATTATGGAATTATTATATTATTATAGAAATTATATATTACTGGGAAAGAACTCCCCCCTCTCTCTAGTGGCACAATCCTTTAAATACCACTAATCCTTTAAAATTTCCTTCTTAGAACAAGCAGCATTGACGGCTGGCAAGATTCTGTGTTGGGCAGATTAGCAAGTTCATGCTGGTGTGAGAGCTTTGTATGTTCTTATGAAGTCATATAACGGGATTATGTTTATGTGTATTTGTGTGTATGTTGCAGGGGACCTATTTTTTTTTTTAGTGAGAGGCAACAGTAGAAGCCTTGTACAAATCCCCAAAGTGAGGCCAGTCACTAAGATTCATTGAGAAGGAAAGCAACAAACACTAATTGAGGGTGTTTTCTCATGATTATCCTTGCTGTGAAGCATTATCTAGCCATTTAAAAACCACAAGCCAGCTTCTACCTGATAGACAGTATGCTCTTCCACTCCTTTCTCTACTACTCTGGTGTCAGTCCAGAGAATTCAAAATCATTTTTATTATTAATATAAATGTTATCAAGCATTTTTTGCTCTCATTGTCCCAGAGTGAGGGCTTATTTCTCTAATGCTACTGCATTCTTCATTCAGGTACCACATATCAGCCTCAGATGGGGAAGCTGCAAGGCTTCTCCCTTTAAGGCATTATCTCTCTCCTCTCAAAATCCCCAACAAGCAGGAGTCTACTCAAAGAAAGAAATTATGTTAACTATTGGCTTTTGAATGCTCCTCCCAGTCAGAGCCAATCAAAGAGGCTCCTATTAATCAATGGTTAGTATAATGGAACCAAACACAGTACATCTAAAACTCTCCAAGGCACTTCCATTATAAGTCATCCTGACTTTCCTAGAAGTAAGTAGGCTCTCCAGTCTCTTGCACATCACAAATTACATCAGCAACACTCTACACATGCTCAGTGTCCAGTCTACCATGACACTTTTGTTGTTCAGTCATTTCAGACTCTCCATGACCCCCTTTGGGGGGTTTTTGGCAAAGATAATGGAGTAGTTTGCCATTTCCTTCTCCAGCTCATTTTACAGATGAGGAACTGAGGCAAACAGGGTTAAGTGATTTGCCCAGGATCACACAGCTAGGAAGTATCTGAGGCAGGATTTGAACTCAAGAAGATAAGACTTCCTGATTCCAAGTGTGAAACTCTATCCACTTTACACCTAGCTGCCCTTACTATGAAACTAGCAAGACACAATTGGAAAAGGAACTATAATGGCTAAAGGAAAAAACAAATCACAGAATGCATTATAAAATCCAAATAAATTTTGGATTAGCCATGCTCCTGGTCTCTTCTATAAATGCAAATGATCATCAGTTTACTCCAAAACCAGGATAGGGCATTTAGTTCCTTAGATAAGATTTGAAAAGTGTGCTTCCTATGGTTACTGTATACTGGATGGAAGAATGAATGAATGAATGAATGGAGAAAACACTTATTAAGTACTTTCTATGTGCCAACTATGGTCCCTGCCCTTAAAGAGCTTGTATTCTAATATGAAATACAAATACACATAAAAGAGTTGTGGCCAGGGAGGAGTATTTTGGTTTGGAAAGTTATAGAGATGGTGAGTGGAGCCATAGAGAAATATATTGATGCACCCTTTCTGGCATTGATTTACAGAATTCCAAATGGAAATGGGGCAGAGGGTACTTACCCAGTAGCAAAGTGGCTAATGAGATGCTCAGAGAGTAAAGTGAATCATGACCAGAGCCATCATAGAGAAAGTGGGCCCTGTGAGATATTCACCAGGATGGTGGGTATTGGGGTGGGGACTGGATCCAGATGTAAGTTATTGAAGGTCTTAAACCTTCACTATAACACATGCAGCTTGATTTAACATGAAATAAATACCTAGAGGGCACAGGAAACAAACTTTCTGGAGCTAAAATATTATATTTCATAAAAATGTGTTTTGTTAAATGTGTCATCATTAAAGCAATAATTAGAAAAGTTTCTTCTTTCCTCCACTACCATTGGGCCCTACCCAACTACCTACACTACCTTCTCCTAGTCCAAACTCTGATTTAGAGTACATTTCTTTTCCCTGCATCTTTCATTTCTTCTCTCTTTCTCTCCTTCAATATTTCTTCTAGTCAAAAACCTTCAGTGGCTCCCTATTGCCTAGCATCTAAGGCCTTCTGCAGGCTGTCTCCAGCCCATATTTCCAGCTTTACTTCATTCTTCTCTTCAAAATTCTATGGTTTTTCTAGTCGAGTTAGACTACTAACTATTTCCCAATCCCTTACTGCTCTCCTCCACTTTAGAGCATTCAAGAAGGCCATCCTTCTTGCCTGGAATGTACTCCCTTCATCTCTCCCTGTCAGAGCAGTAACTAGGGTGTGGCAATTGGAACTTTGCCCTAGGGCTCTGAAAATTTAGAGGGTGCTGACATCATTTGCCTTCCTACAATGACAACTAAGTTTAGCATCTAGTTAGCAAGAAAGATAGTTAAAATAAGCAGCTACCAAAGGCTCTCCTTCCTTCTCCCCTACCACCACACCTTAGGTGAGTTTCTCCAGCTCCTCCCTCAGGCTCCCCAGCAGTGGCCTCCTGGTAGCACTCGACCTTTTTCTCCCCCAACGTGAGGCAGTGTCTTGCATGACTCCACACACC